AACAAATTAACATAATTTTGAATGGCATATTCGAAAAGCATTTTCTGGATTTGTGCCACAAGCGCCAAAAGCAATGACAGCAGCAGCGGCAGCAACGGCAGCAGCAGCACTCGCAGAGCATTTAAAGTTTGCGCCTGTTTAGCGTTAACAAGCCGCAGCCATGGCGTTTAACTAAGCGTGAATGTAACTTGTGTAGGTGTGAGGGTGTGTGCGGGTGTGCAGGCGTGCGGGTGTGCAGGCGTGCGTGCGTGTGTGTGTGTGTGTGTGAGGCAAACAACATTGTTGCTAAAATGATTTTGAAAAACCATCAATAACTCAAATATAATGACAGTTTTCCACTTGTTGTTGCAAGCCAGTCAGCCAGGCAGTCAGGGAAGAGGGCTGTGTGGCAATGGGGCAGGCAGCCAGCCGTTCTATAAGTGGGGCTAAATGGATGAATAACTTAAACCAGCTGCTTGTATAAGTCCCCTGCGCGTGTGTGTGTGGGTGTGTGTGTGTGTATGGTTGATGTGATGTTATGTAATGTAATAACGTCAATCAAATTTGAAAAAAGGCAGGCCAACTATTTGAAAATCAATTTTCATGCGCAACACAAGAAGAGCACAAGCAGAAGCCCTGATGAAACCAAGATGAGAACGCAACTGAGTTAAGATGAGAAGCAGGAGCCGGCTGGCTGGCTGGTTGGCTGGCTGGGAGCCCGCTCTGCCTGCCTGCGTGTTACTAAGTAAATATATAAGTTTTTAAGTTGTTGGCCAGAGGGAGTTTGCTTAATGTAGCAGAAGGCCATCACTAAAGTGTTGCGCCCTAAGCCATGACTAGAGGTATTTGCGATATTTGCCTCCAAAGGAGAAAGATGAAATGCAAAAAAGGGGGAGAAGCTCATAAGAAAGATAAAAAAAAAAAAAAAAAAAAAAAAAAAAACAAAAAAATAGAATAAAAAGAGGTGAAGTGAGGAGGGAGCTAAAGTAGTTTCTAAATGCCAAGCGAAAGGTTGAGATATCAGAGATCAGCGCAAAAATGTCACGCTCCAGGGTTCGTAATTATAGCAAACAGAGAAGCCGTAGCAGACGTTGGAGAAGAAAATGCAGCAAATTCTCATTATAAAAAAGGATTAGGTGTAGTTGAATCAGAAAAGTGAGCGTAAAAGTTTAATGAATATAAATTATCTTAGGAATTGTAAGCACTTGAGCAAACTTCAAGATTAATGACAGCCTAGTTAGACAGCTTTTGTTGTTGTTGTTGKTTTTGTTGTACTATTTTTAAGGCGGCGACACCCTTAAGGAATTATGTAAAGCTGGATTTCAAGTTTTATTGAAGAAAGTGAAAAGTTACTGGAAGTGAAAACAACTTTAAACTGTGCGTAAAGGTCTTTGGTAACAGATTTATGTGTTGAGTTTAATAGTTTAGTGTTGAGAAACGTATGCCGGAAGGGAAAGAGAGAAAGAGAGAGAGAGAGAGATCTTCATAATGAATGACGATGGTTAGAAGTTGGGAAAATTTATTTAAAGTGTCTTTTAGTGTTGTCAATCGTAATTAAATGTTTACACTGTATACTTTGATTTAGTATTATTATTCCCTAAAAGGAATTCAGAATGAGCCAACTTACAAAGAGCTAATCGAACATTTTCTTTTTTTTTTTTTTACATTTTTAAGCATTTTTAGTATTGAATATAATTTGAAAATGTAAGCTGGAACATCGAATTTATTTATTCCATTTAGTCTTTGTTCCTTAAAGATATTGCCAGAGAAAAAATTCATTTAATGGTAGAAAAAAAGTGTCATAGATTTAAAGGCCAGTTATTTTGTTAAAGTCAATAAAAACTTCGACTGTTTCACAACGTTTAGGGATTTTTTTTTCCAACTGCGCTGAGTATTCAAATTACAATGCACTTGCAGCAATATGTCAATTGCTCTCGGCATATCGTTTTTTTTTTTTTTTTTTTTTTTTTTTTTAAACTCTTTGCTGTTGACACAATTCGTTGCGTTGCGGTTCACGCTGCGCATGAGTTATATTCAACAAATACATTACACATACGCAGCGTGGCCGCACTTGAAGAGCATTTGAACGTCACCAAAAAAAATATCGCTGCATTTGATTTTGGTCATGTTTTTGCTTCTTTTTGATA